ATAGTTTTTAATTCCATACTGCCGTCCTCTAACGTTTACAAACTTTAACAAAACTCATACGTTACAGAAATCTTTAACCGTATCACTGTTAATACGGAATACTAGATGGCGCCAATAAAAAAATAAGTGTGCAGCTTCTTCCATTGTTAATTTAAATAAGATTTATCTATAATTTTCAAATGAAACTTTCTCAACAAAAATACTAATTTCTGCTACCTCTTGTTCATATAAGAATGCATAAAATTAGAAACTAGTACCTATATTTTTTCTCATATCATTAAGCCTTTTTCAACAAAATGAATTCGTGCGGTTTTGTGTAGGTAGTTATAAGTGGTCTTGTTATTATGTAGTGAAGTTAATGTATTTTTCTTATAAAAGTCGCTTATTAGAGTATTGCATAAGCCAATACAGCTCCAAAGAAAACGATAATTTATTTTAACCTATAAATCCGTAATAGGTGAGATTCATACCTGCAATAGTCGAAGGAATTCAATGGAAGTTTATTGCTCTATCCTCTACGTAACTGCATAGTCATCCTTGTTAAAAAAATATGTAGACATTGAACAGTGTGTCTAAGAATAATTTAGTTTTCTTCATAAGGTGCATTTCGGCGCAGGTGTTCTCCGTTCAGTTACTTGTCAGGCGGTCAGAAATACATTTTTTTAAAACGTTTCTAGATAATATTAAAGTCAAGATTGTTTAAGAAATGTGAAGAAGTCATTAAGTCAAAAATGAAGCCACTATGAGAAAGTCCAACTTTAGCATTTAAATGTGACTGCTCAATTGTATAGGATCAAGATGGAAGAAACAATATTTTTATCTATTTAGCTAAGAAGTTTAAACACTGTTTAAGCTAAAGGCATCGAGCAATAAGACAAAAGAGGGAATCTAATCGTTATAAAAAGGAGACCAAAAAAGTGGCCTCTGATGGCGGACACATCCGGAAATGCAAAGGCGCTAAATTTAAATTTTCCAACATTTGTTAACAATAGCTATAAAATATTTTTCAGACTAGAAAGTTTTAATTAAATATTAACGATAATAGTCTAAAAAGTGACATAATTGGTAAAAAACTTCAATATAAATAAAATTTCATGTGACAGTTGGGACAAACAATAACATAA